GAGCGGAGGGGGGTCGAATCAGAGAGCTACTTTACCTGCAGGGAGTGGAGGATGAGGGAGAACCAGACAGAGGGGAGGGAGGATGAATGGATGGTTGGCCGGGTGTGGAGTTGTCAGGAGCAGGAGTAAAGTCCTGGAAGCTGGATCTAAGTACCAGGTGGACTGGAGTTAGTCAAGGGACTCCTACGGTATGTATTATTTAGGGTACTGTGACAATGTGCTGGTGGTTTTTGTGTTGGTGGTATGCACCGACTGGCTGGAACCTGTACAATCATCATATAAGATAATCACCTATAAATAACAAAAAAAGATTTACATTAGATAACTATTTTTTTTAAAATTCATCAAGCGGGCCAATTTTGGCCCACAAGCCTTATGTTTCACTCCCCTTCTATAGTGGTTATCTCAAAACATCTGGACTGCTACAAAAACATTGCCAAACAAATGTAGTCCATCATCATTCACCAGTTATCAACTAATGTTACAGCCACTACTTTCACCCAGCTCCCGATCCTGCTCCGTGTTTTGACTAGGGCAGAGACATTTGCACACAACACAGGCTCCTCCTGAGGCCTCTGCTAAGAGATGATCCGGGCCAACGCTCATGTGCATGCACACGCACACACACACACACATAAACACGCACACAGGCTCAGCTGCCTTCCAAGCAATTACCGGCTGCACAGATGCCTTTTGAAACAATGGCAACCGAAAGCAGAAATGTAAAGTGATAGACAGACAGAACATGGGAGACGCAACTATGACTATGTGAAAGTCAAATGATAACAAACAAACTGGGACAAAACAAAAACATGGTGTGCAAATATAAAATAATCCAAATATTAAAAAATAAAGACTGATAATGAAACCAGAAATGAAAATAATAATAAGTCATAGTAGTAGTAGTAGCACTAGTAATAGTCATAGTATTAGTAGTAGTATTAGTAAAAGTAGTAGTAGTAGCAGTATTAGTACTAGTAGTATAAGTAGTAGTCATAGTATTAATAGTATTAGTAGTATAAGTATTAGTAGTATTAGTAGTAGCAGTAGCAGGTTGCAGATTCAAATCTCGTCATGGTTATGGTAATTCTGTGCCACTCCAGTACCATAGTTCTCTCCAGATAACTTAATATAAGCTTTCCCAAATATCCAAACAGCTACAACTTGCTTTTATTATTTTAGTTAATTCATCTCTGAGATTTATTATACCAAAAGTACTAACAGAAAAAAGTAGTAATTATTAGGAAGTAATTATTGATATGGTATTTGAGTTTTCTGTTGGCTAATGTGAAACAAATAAAACGTTTTAGGTTCATAAACGTATCTTACCAACCTTTCTCTGGTGTCACAGTAAACCAGTACAGGCCACGGGTTTATAATGTTTTTTGGGGGAAATTGCCACAGTTTCCAAACTGTCAACCTTTCAATTTAAACTTTCAGTAACATTAGCGAACTTAATAAATAATTAGGTGTTGGCAACGCCATTTTGTTCTGGTCCACCCTACCGGAAGTGCCTTATGAATCATTGGTGTAATATCTGCCACCCACCAGTCATTAAACTCACCAATGGTTCCACCTGTAATTATATCGTGTGAGTCAGTCGCACTGACGTTGTTCGTTTCGGGGTTTTTTTTTTGTTTGTTTTATTTTTTGTTTGTTTTTTTTGGTGCCTTTTTTGTTTTTTTTTGTTTTTTTTGGTGTTTTTATTAAAGATAATATCCCGTTGAGGCTATGTCGAACAAATACTGGATGTTCATTGAATATGTACTTGTAGTCTTGCTACCATTCAACAGATGGTGCTATTGTGAAGGTGTCATTCCCCTCGGAGTTCTTCTCCTCTTACGTTCGTTCAGTAATTGGTGCAATCAATGCAAACCTTTAAGCTTTAGATTGCATATAACATGTAAATAATAATAATAATAATAATAATAATAATAATAATAATAATAATAATAATAATAATAATAATAAAACAAAACAGTAGTAGCTAAAAAGAAAATGTTATGTTGTAAAGCAATGTATGTATAATAATAATAATAATAACAATAATAATGATAATAATAATACCGAGGGTGGTGATACGAATGACATTACAGCAGGTAATATAAATAGCGTGAAATGAGGCATTTCCTGTCGTTGATACTGTACATTGACTTCATTCAATTAACGCTTTTTTCCTGTAGGTGGCGATAATGCATGACAGTGGATTAAGGTGTCGTAAAACTTCAGCGAAGAAGAAGTACAACCCGGAACAATAATAAACTCGTGTAACGTGAGGTGAAATATATATATATATAACGTGAGTTAACAAGGCATATGCAGCCTTAAACAGTGTCATCGGTTTAGGAGTGTGAGTTTGGTTCGTTTTCTACGAATGGCATCAATTCTCAAACCATACTTGTGTAATAATGGACCTTTGATTCTGGACGGTGGACTAGCCACCGAGTTAGAGGCGCAGGGAGCTGTTATACAGGTAAGAATGCATTCTGAAGAAACAAGTCCTGGAAATATGGATTTATTTGAAGTGATAAGTGTAAAGATGGAATCATTGGATCAGCCTCTAAAGGCTAAAACCAGCTTTTGTGTCAAACATCCAGGATGATCCACTCTGGAGTGCCAGGCTTTTGCAAACCAACCCCCAGGCCATTAGTGATGCTCACTACAGGTAGGTCTGTGTGGGATAACCTGGTAGAACAGCAAGTTGAGTGTTTTGTAAAAAAAAAAATAAAAAAAAGATTATGATAATCAGCTGTAACAATCACCACAGGTTCCTTCTCAGTGGGGCGGATGTTGTTACCACAGCTACGTACCAGGCCAGTGTTGCTGGATTTGTCAGTCACATGGATGTGAACCCTGAAGGTGCCAGAGAGCTGCTGATGTCTGGTGTGCATCTGGCCAGAGAGTCAGTGAGGAAATTTGTCAGCAGCAGTCATTCAACAGGTATACAACCAGATGTTGATACAGGATGGATGCCGGAACAGTTTGGTGTATTTTTTTATTTTTATTTATTTCTGTGTCCTTACAGAGCAGAGAGGACCATTTGTTGCAGGCTCCGTAGGACCATACGGGGCTTTTCTTCACAACGGTTCAGAATACACCGGGACTTATGCAGAGGAGATGAGTGTAGAGGTAGGACACACTGACTATATTCGATTCACATAAAATACAGAGATGAAAATTGTAACATATGTATCGCCGCTGTTGATCATATTTGTCTCGTACTTTTCATGATTGTTTTAAACGTATTCTACCAGCTTTATTATTTTAATTCCTTCCTTCCTTTTCTGAGGATCTTAAAGTGTGGCATCGACCTCAGCTAGAGTGCATAACAGCAGCAGGAGCTGATCTCATTGCATTTGAGACAATCCCGAGTCTTAAAGAGGCGTCGGCTTTGGTGGAGCTGCTAAGAGAGTTCCCGAACTCTAAAGGCTGGCTCTCCTTTTCTTGTAAGGTAAACACTGCAGACGAGAACTTCGGTAGTCAGTGCAACGTTATTCTGAAAATCAAATTCTGTGTCAAACCACAGGATGGGACGTCTATATCTGATGGCAGCCTATTCACAGATGCCGTGAGGATTGCTAACAGATCCACGCAGCTGGTCGCTGTAGGAGTTAACTGCTGTTCTCCAGCATTAGTGGAGCCACTTCTGAACTCTGCCGAGTCCCTCCTGAGCCCAAACCTGAGCTGGGTAGTTTACCCCAACAGTGGAGAAGAGTGGGACAAAAAGCAGGGGTGAGTATTAAGTTAAAGATGTTGAGAAATAAACTCACTGCTTTTATTTATACAATAAAAAAAAAACCTATTGTTTTATATATGTGCGCATATATTTATATGCATGTACATATATTTGAACAATGACCGTTACACTCCTAATGTTTATATTTATTCATAACTAAATGATAAAGACTTCTGACTCAGTTTTGTAAGCGAAATGTTGGCCGAATGTTTGTGGAAGGAGGTTTTTACGACTTTGACAAACACCGTTTGCAGTAATGTTCACAACTGTTTAATTCTCCCTTTTAAACCAGGTGGCAAAACTCAGGGAAATCACAAGACTTTATAACTGACCTATGTCATACATGGGTGAAGCAGGGAGCCTCATTAATCTGTGAAGAGCTTTTTTTTTTTTTTTTTTGATCTTTTTTTGTCTTGTGTTCTGATTGAAATTTTTTGATTAAATGCCCTTTTTGTCCTGTAGGTGGCTGCTGCCGTGTAACTCCCGATAACATATCCGAGTTACGGCACCATTTAAAAAGAACTGGCCCATGTCCAGCTGCTGCAGTGTGACCACGGTGAAAATGTGATGTTCATTGTTGCATACAATAAATGAGTCCCATAGAATTTCTAAGAAAAAAAAAACATTTATTTTTATACATATAAATTAAAGAAAACCTTTAGCCTGTGTTAGCACATAGCTGCAAAAACCATGGCACCTTGAAAGTGATATTAATATTTTAAAATAAACACGTAAATGAAAGGATAGAAAATACACCATGGAATCTTAATCTGAATTTCCTGTAATTTACATTTTGGTTTAAGGTAGGTGAGGGAATTGCATTGACAGTTTCTTCACAAAAATTGGGAAAGTCAACTTTCACAGTATGTTTCACAAACACGTACTTCATGTCGGCTGCTCTCACACCATTTGCACCAAACAGGGCACAGAACAAGCCCACTCACTACCCTTACAGTGTATGGTAAAGTTACATTTACGGCAACATTAGTAGTTATACTTTCTTAGCACTACAATACGGTATGTTGAATACGATTTTGAGAGAGAATAAGGGAGGCTGACAGAAAAATGAGTGCGACTGACAGAAAGACGGTATAATACCAGATCATCACCGCTAACATTTACAATTTATGAGGTGGATATAGTTTTTGACAGATGACTTAAACCGTTATTGTACTGAATCGGCAGCTCGTAATACAAGTGGACAGGCTAAAAAAAAACACTTTTAAAAAAGTTAGTGTTTTAAAGATTATCATTTAGTGTTTATAAAAATGCACCAGAGAATACTCATGTTTTTAACTCGTCTTCATGATGTCTGAGACTGAGGCTCTGACCTTCCAGGTATCAACTGCTGTTCAACACTTGTCTTTGATACGTCCACAAGTAGTCGCATCAGTCAAAATTTTGAGCCAAGTGGTTCCCAAAGTGTGGGGCGGGCCCCCTATGTGGAGATATGGCTTTATTGCAGAGAGGGGCGCAGGGGTTAGGAATTAGTGTTATGAATACATTTCATTAGAGTTTGAACAAATTGTTGTGAATATGTCAACAGAGGGAGGAAGGGTGGCCTGTCAACAGAAAGGGGGCGCTGTGGAAAAGGTTGGGAAACCACTGGTCTAAGCATGTTAGATAGATTTGATAATAAACAATTACAGTACAGAATGGTATCGACTGACATACACACCTAAACTGTTTTACTAACAAGGAGGGAGTTAAATCTGTATCTGACAATACATTTTAAAATGTACATCTGGTGATTTTCTATATATTTCTTATATATGGTAATACCATGCAAAGACCACATCAAACTAAATGTATCCACTAGAAACAAAGGGATGGGAGGATGTCAAAAGAACGGCAACAGGAGAAGGGTGTTCTGCTAACAACTACCATTTCCTCTAAAGGAATCCTACAGGTAAAATCAAGGGCTTACATTTAGTTTGGATTAAGCAGAAACAGGGACTTATTTATAATCAATCAAATGTTCACCTCTGCAAACATTTCTGTCATGGTTTACTATTTTAAATGTATGATTTACTTTTAAAGTATAATCAATTCTACTTTTTTTTTGTTTGTTTATTTTTGACTTTCATTCTGATTCTTAACTTACCAAAATTTAGATTTGTTTCTTTCACTTTTGTGTTAATAAATGCTTAGGTTATAATTTGTCGCCAGTCATATGGACTGCGGTCTAAATACACTATTTCAAAGCGCACATTAGTGTATATATGTAGTGTATTTAAACTACACTCTGTACGAAAAAAAAAATTAGGTTTTAAACTAAATTATTTTATAGTTTTCTTTTAAATATTTTTTTAGATGTCTTTTTGCTCTAATGGATGTAATACTCCTTAAATCCACAGGAGACTTTTTTGTGCATTGTACTTTGACTATAAATTTCCTGATATACAGTGCTGTACCTTCCTTGTTGTATTTACAGTATTAATTAGTGTTCCTGATGTGGAAAAAAGTTGATTTCAGATCTTTTTCAAACAGTTCCCCACTCGACTTGCAGATGTGGTACACGTTGGTACATCTCTGCCTGTTCAAGGAAGTACATAAATAAACTACAGATGTAAAAATGTTTTACAGATTATAAAATGTCATTTTTGCCTGTTTTTTTAGCAGCTTTGTCTTCAGAGAAATGTCTATCTTGGTGTCTCCACACTGTCACTCTACTTATCACGTAGACCCGTTGGACCCTTTTTTTTTAGTCAGTGATTTCCTTGAGGTCGCCGTCCGGGGAGGCTCTGTGTCTGTAGTCTGCAGTGTTAGACTGGCGTTTCCAGCTTGTGTCTTTCTGACCTCCAATGCTGTGCGAACGTCCATATTGGCCCAGGCGTTTCCCCGGTGTCCTTTCCCCTGTGTCCTCTGACGCCTGACTGTGGGCTCGATCTGTGCTGGAATGGTGGAAATCGTGACGCAGGTTCTCAAAATTTAAGGCCCACGGGCCGAGCTTCTGCCAGTTCACCCTCTGGAACGCCATGATACAGTGCAGGTTGCCGCCCACCTGTCAAACACCACGTGGAGGTGATTTTAGTATCAGTGATCATTATAATAAAAATGTACAAGAAACTTTAAGAAAACCTTTTTGGTTTTGCGATGCTGGATCCCCCTCTCTGTATGACGAATATCCAGGAATTCTGGGTTTTGCGTGTTGAGGTCAGTAACGATGTCCAACCACCTGACCAAATAAGGTAGGGTTATTTAGACCAAAAAAGACAAAAATAAAAGGGATCCTTTTGGTAATTATTGACTTTTTACCTTTTCAACTATGACCTTTGTCCTGCTTTTATGATGATAGAATGTTCTTAAATCTAGAAAGCACTAAGAGGATTTTGGTTTTCTTAATGTCATACATACAAAGGTGGTATAAATATTGTAAAATGCAGTTTGACTTTTGACAGAGCCCACTTGCTTTTTGAGGAAATTCAAAAGAAGGCATTGACACCCATGTAAATATATGCAGATGACTCTACTCAATCTTCCTGACCAGCTGGTACCTGTTCTTACCCTATTGGAAATTGACAAGGAACCAGTGATGCACTGATACCAGAATTTTTCAAATATTTTCCCAATACTTCGCTCTATCAGCCAATTGTCTTTGTTTATCCATTTTCTCTTTGGTGTAACTTATATAATTCCTAATGTGATGGCAGTGTCACACATCAATAATAGAAATGCATACTTTTTACAGTGAATCGCTCGTGTGGTGCCCCACATAAGGTCCAGGGTTTCCATTCTTTTGTGGGAGGGGGGGATCCGGAAAAAAAAAAAAAAAAAAAAAAAATTACACAATGGTTAGACACAAGAGTGAGGAGTTGAATTACAAAGAAATAAAGAAGCATCTACTTTAAAAAAATTAAAAACATTATTTTCATATTTTGAGAAAACGGCAATCTGTTTAATTTGGGTAACAAAGAAATTCTGGATCTTTTAAGGACGTTTTAGGAAGCCAAATACAATTTTAAAAAAAATATCATCTGGTAAAGAAAACCTAGAAGGATGAGAATGGTGCCTATCAATCATTCCATTGTAAAAATATAAACACTAGTTTATGACCTACGTGTATGCCTTTGCTGCTTTTAGCGGCGTAGCTTCAAAGCCCACTGGGCAACAGTAGTGGTTCTGGCAGTGGTAAATATAAGCCATAGACTCATCCTTCAGTCCCTGGGTCAGTTTCATCAGCGCTCCTTCAGCTGGAACATCAACTTGGTTATCACTTTGGTGCGAAGTCGACAGACAGAGACACACAGTTGAGTTGGGAAACGGTACGGTGCCTCACCTGTTTCTCCTGCTGTCTTGTGTTTTCCATGTGGTTTATAAAGAAAGTAGGAGCAGCCTCGCACCCGGAAATTTTCATTTATTTGTCTGAACCACCTGTAGAAAAAAAAAAACATACATATGATTTAGACGAAAACTTTTTCAAAAGGCGGCTAGTTGGAGCTGGAAAAGATGCCTGTGTACCGCATCAAAGTAGCATTTCCGGTGAAAGGACCAAATTTGATTTCTTCAAATGGTGGCTGAAACCCCAGGATGTGCAGAGCCTCCTCTTGAGAGATTGGTGGAAGACTTAGGACAAAAAAAAGGTGGACACATCAGAGTTACCATTGCTCTAGCTAAACAGCTAAAAATATTTTACCATTGCTCTAGCTAAACAGCTAAAAAAAAAAAATTAAATAACCAAAACAAAGAAAATATTCCGACAAATATTACTGTTTCTATTGTTCATTCGTCCGAGGCTCAACCGACACTTATACAAAACATTTCCTAATATGCCCTGAATAAATATTAAGATACCTTAGCCTCCTCTCTAGTATTCTGTTATATTATTAAAAAAGCATTATTTCCTTCTGTGCGCTGAATCTGTCATGCACCTACTAAAGAGCGTAACCAAAACTAAAATACCTTCCTGCACCCAGAGTGCTGTATAGAAAGTTCCAGCAGGAAACCAGAGAGGATATTCCACATGAGGTCTTGTACTGAGGCCGACTGATGCAGTACCTAAGGCAAAAATTACACATATTATTGGAAGGTTGTAACTCGAAGGAAAGGTTTAGGTACTATTAAATTTACTTGTGGAATTTGTGGAATGTGGCCCTGGGAAAACGACCTTGTTTAAGCCATATAGTACATTACCATCTTCTGAGGTCGAGCACTTTTCGCTGTTTGATCTCTTCCAGTGACACATGAGGAGAGACGTCCTGCAGATATCGGTTCAGCCTCTCTGATGACTTCATCTTCTTAGAACTGCATTTCTTCACGTTGCCTGAAATGCAGTTTGGGTCATTGTTAGAAAAAGTAGGTGAAAACGAGGTGAAACAACAGACACACTACAACTTTTTCCACAATGTATCTTGACTTTTGATGAAGCTCTGAACTGTAAAAGTACTACACCGTTTCACTACCAAGTCACTTTTGTAGTGATAAGAACTCAGTTTAACTTGTTACCTGTGAAAACTGTTAAGAAGAATTAAATATATCCATATCGGACACTACTTTTAAAAGGGCAGTCTTAACTCCTGTTATCACAATGTAAAAAAATGTAAATGTATGATTGCTTGTTTTCCCATTTCTACTGATTATTATTGACTAGGAGAGACGTCCTGCAGATATCGGTTCAGCCTCTCTGATGACTTCATCTTCTTAGAACTGCATTTCTTCACGTTGCCTGAAATGCAGTTTGGGTCATTGTTAGAAAAAGTAGGTGAAAACGAGGTGAAACAACAGATACATATATTACAACTTTTTCCACAATGTATCTTGACTTTTGAAGACGCTCTGAACTGGCATTGTCCCCACACACTGCTCCCCAGGAGCTTGAAGTGCACCCTGCTCTCTTTGGTGATGGGTGAAATGCAGAGGTCACATTTCATTGTGTGCAGTGGTGTGCTGTGTCACAATGACACTTTCATTATCACAGAGTAAAATGATCATTTTCTGAACCACTTTTATGTTGCTCTACTGCATTAGTTCTCAAACTAAATGACACTTTCATTATCACAGAGTAAATGCAGAGAATTATGATCATTTTCTGAACCACATTTTATGTTGCTCCACTGCATTAGTTCTCAAACTTTGGTGCGTGTGTAGATTCAGTGCAAGTTTTAAA